ATCTCAGTGCAGTGTTACTTGATGTGGGTACTGGATGCACAAATGGAAAATTAAAAACTCTCCAGTGTGCGACTGTGGTCACCCAGAACAGACCATGGAGCATATAATGACTCAATGGCTGATTCCCAAATATGAAAGAGGCATCACAGCATTATGCTCCTCTACTCCTGATGCAACTGTCTGGCTTAACCATCTAAATATAAAATTACAGTTGTTGCTCTACATCCACATCAGCCATACGAAGAAGAAGTGCAGTGTTTCAAACTGAAGGATAAAATCCTCAACCAAATTAACAGGCTGGACCAGTGCTGCGTACTGTCTCTTTAAAGGAGCAGCAAAATTGATAAGGAGCTATAGTGAGAGGAACTGAGCACTGCAGGGGAGATGATTTGGGGGCAACTCAAGGCTGGAAGAACTGTTGGTGTCACCCTGCAAGGAATAACCACGCTGGTGGAAGCCAGGGTGAAGTCATTGTGCTGTAAGCAGGCTACTGGTGTCAGGGATCTGAGCCAAAAATGCACAGCACAGAAACTCCCAGGGTTACAGGACAGGTGATGACACAACCTCTTAGTAATCTGGGTGAATCCCCAAAATGTCAGAGTCACCTTCGAGAAAAGAATTCCATCTCTGCCTCAGTCACAGAGGTCCTAAGAGAGGCTGAGCAAGTCACAAACCATATTTTTCATAGATGACCACTAATTTTATGGGGGCTCAGATGCCTGGAGTCAGATTTGCAGAAGTGCTGAGCACTCACAGCTGCAACTGAAGTCAATAGACGCTGTGCTTTAAATAGGTCTATAAAAATGTAAAATACTCTGCAAAATCAAGCCCTAGGCATCTCAAGCTGGGCATCCAAAATTAATGGACACTTTTGACAATTTTAACCTTAATCTCTCTGTGCCTGAGTTCACTTCCTATAAAACTGGGATAATAATACCACCTTACCACACAAGGGTGTTGTGAAGATAAACTTATTAATGTCTGTGAAGCATACAGATACTACAGTGAAGAGTGCCATAAAAATGCCCATCAAGAAATTAATAATCCACTGCAGTACAGAACTTGGTTAATATGTAGTAAATAGTGTCTGGGAACCCATATGCATACGTGCACGGACTGAGGCAGGGGTCCTGTGGAAAATACAATGTGACTATGTAATTAAAGATTCTAATAATTTGTAATCCATTCTCTACTCTATTTTTCATCCCATATTTTCCTAAAGGTTTTTTCCTTTCTGCCCTTTCATTGTTCCTTTTTTCCGATCTTTTCTAAGAAGAATATGGACCCAGGAATTTGCAAGGAACTTCCAAACCTATAATTCCAGGACTTTCAGAATTAGGCAAAATAAGCTCAACCATCCATGGTAATTACATTTTACCTACCTATATTCTCACTAGCTGTTTTGATTACAGCATTCTTCACCTTCTCACCTAAAGTATGTATTGTATTGTTGTGCTTAATAATGATTTCACCATATAGAAGGCTGCATTTCAGTGATGGGTGAAGTGTTTTTTGTTTATAACATTTGTAAAAAAAAATCTTTGGAATTGTTTTGGTTTAAATATGATATTTGTTAATTCAGACTTGCACTGTTGCTTGCTAGAAACTATCATCCTACAATATTGTGAGGTGGCTGTGTAATTTAGGTAAATGACAGGGATAATAATGAAACTGCCAAATCAGGATTTGAATTCAGGTTTCAAGAAGTGAAAAAGCCAATTTGTTACTCCACGCTGACCTCTACAAAAATCATCTGTAAGAAGAATCATACTTATTTAAAATAGCTTTTTATTTAACTTCAACTGGAAAATAACCAACTTGTGACACCAGCAGCAATTCACTGAAGTAAATTTCTTATAAAATACATTTCTGCAATGAAAATGAACCAAAAAGAATTTTTGTGATACTTTAAAATGCTGATAATTACCCAGCCGAAATTCCCTAATGTGTACTATTACCATATGAGGGGAGATGCTTTCTATTTTTAAATTTAAAATACTGAGTTCTTCCAAATTGTGTAGTTCTTTATTTTTATTTGGAATGAGAAATATTAAATATGCACATATCTGTCAAGCTGATCATCAGTGTATCCAAAAAACACTTCCAGTTAAAATTATTACTTTAAAGAATTCTTTTTTGAAAAACTTGGCTGTTAAAGAATTCCCCCTAAGGAAAGGGGTGGCCTGAAATGCACAGAGTAGATTTGGGCCCAGCAGAAAATTAGTTATTCACAGTGGAGCCACAGAGAAACTGAATGGCTGTTTTGTAGCATTAAGAGATCTACATGAAATAAGCATTTAACAAAAAAAGTAATGGCGGCTTAGCTTGCAAGCTGGTAGCCAGATACAGGAGTGGACTCAACCAATTAGAAGAATTACCTACCTAGAGACTGTATCAGAGGGGTAGCCGTGTTAGTCTGAATCTGTAAAAAGTAACAGCGGGTCCTGTGGCACCTTTAAGACTAACAGAAGTATTGGGAGCATAAGCTTTCGTGGGTAAGAACCTCACTTCTTCAGATGCAAGTAATGGAAAT